TGAATCAGTGATATAATGTTGAAATAGTAAATAGGAATTTTATTTTGTTATCTTGAACAAAACGTATTATTTTAATAAATTACTTTGTGAAATATTGTAAAAGAAACAAGTGTTAAAAAATAATAAGCAAATGAAACAAGGAACGAACCTCTGGCAAAATAAGAATAAATCTCAGGACATAGGTACTTCAAACCACTGAATTAGCAATTTAACAAATTATTTACTTTTAGTAAAAATTTTGTTTCAGACTTCACCATAAATCTTGCTTTCTAACTTGTATCGGTATAAATTTTACGTATTGTACGACAGGGTGAAACCTGAGTCACTTAGTAAAACTCGCGTGAAATCTGCTATCATACATAGCAAAACTCAGATTTCATCCTAACCCTAACTCGGATTTTACTCTATATCGATATATGACTCAGGTTTCACAGCTGGTTTCACCCAGTTCATTTATAATTATTTTAATTGCTTTTGCACCCAAACGTAAAGCACTGCTTATCGTTATCGTACCCGGGGTTTTATTCTTTTATATACTATATTTGGAGCATGTTCATATTGAATAATATAGTTATACCCCAGGTCTTTATTCAAAAAATAGACCGGTATGACGGTGAATAATACCCGGGTCTTAACCATGGGGGTATTATTACGTATAAGCAACAGAACAACGTATACAGTATAACCACTTGAAATTCTGCGAACTTGTTAAAAATTTTCTAATAAAAATATTTAATACATCAAGCTTGTACACATAAGTTTTGTTAGATCTAATACTGCGCCTACGAATGAATGGCTGTAATTCTTGATTTTCAATTGTTTAATGCAGTGTAATTAATTCAGGTGGGTTATTTCCCGCGCAGGCAATCAGTCGGGAGCTCGAAGGGCCCCCGGTTGATTGAGATTTATCGGTTTATTCTCCCGTAGCGAGAAATAAGGGTGTTATTCTTCGTTTTATATGACATCATGACGGCAAATATCTTTAGTCAGTATGACAAAAAAAACGGTTATAAAAAGAGAATTGCAAAAGAATTTTCGCTTTAATAATACAATTATGTTAAAGGAATTTTTTAAAAAAAACTTCGCCTTTAATTATAATGATACCATTGCTCTTAGAGAATTATAAAAGATCTTTGTTCTAAATAACTATCATGTTCTAACAAGTGACTAGGAGAATTTTAAGATCTTTGTTTAAGTAAAACACTCTTGCAACGGCTAAAGGATTGCCAAAAACAAAATCACAATGCAAACTAAAAGAATTATTTCAAATATATAAAAATTTAAAGTGCACCCGGGGAAATAACAAGAAATAATGGAGAAAAACAAGCAATTCCGGGGAAATAACAACCATTACCGTAAAACGCCGTATAAGGTACCCGGGTATCTTACAATTCACATGATAAAAATTTGATTTGTACCCCCCGGGTACCTTGTATGGAGGAGGGTATATTATATGGGGGGTATCTTGTGAAAAACATATATTAGCCCATTAGTAAAAAAAGATTTTCATTATTAAATCGATCCTTGATTTATACCCGGGTCTCTTACAAAACACCACAACAAATAACCTTGAAACATACCCGGTACAAATCAAGGGGGGTACCTTATACGGCGTTTTACGGTAATAAATTCTTTCAAAAATATGACGTAATTTTAGAATTAATGCTATAGGTTTGACCCGAGAATTAAAGTTTAATTAGTATATGCATTTAGAGGCTTTTGACTGTATATATTGAAATGTATTTTTTGCTTTATTAATGGTACTTATATTTACTATGTTTCAAGTTGAGATATCCGTGTGAAATAAATCTCAAGGAAACATTAATATATGGAGCTAGGCTTTTCGTTGCAATAATGATAATGGAATTTATGCTTCATTATACATACGTTGTTGCTATTGTCAAATCAAAAGCATGGGCAGGTGATTCACCACTTGAACTGGCTATGATTGGTGTTCTCAATTTAGAATTGGTTTGGTTAAAGGTGATTTCATACTTCACTCTTTATATATAGGCTAATCACACTTTGTTTCGTTGAACTAACATATCTAAATTTCTTTAATTTTCAAGTTATTGATTATCTGGCGATTCTTTAGATTTTGGGCAATGTCAGATGGAATAAATACACAAGAAAATATTTTAAGATGCATGTTAAATAATTATTCGACTGCTGGATTCTGGCGCAGCTGGCATCGAAGCTATTATAGGTGGTTAATCCGGTAAATAAAATATAAAAATAATTATTATGCAACCTTTAACATTTCTTAAGTAAAAGTTTTTTAATTTACAGATATATTTATATTCCACTTGGCGGAAATAAACGCACTACACTTAATATGTTGATCATTTTTATATTTGTAGCATTATGGCATGACATCTCATTAAAATTACTGGCATGGGGTTGGCTAATTTGGCTATTTATTTTACCAGAAACAATTGCTAAACTGCTTTTTTCTTCACAAGAAGTAAATGCTATTATTTTGTTTCTGATTTCCAAATTAATTTAATTGTACACTAAATCTATTGTTTATTTAGTGGGTTGATTGGCCACATTATCGACATTTATGTGCTGTCGGCGCTATATTAAACCTTTTGATGATGTGGGCTGCAAATCTAGTCGGATTTGTTGTTGGCTTAGATGGGATGAAGGTTTTATTTACAAGTATTTTTATGACTCCTCTAGGTAATAATTGCATTCAGCGTTAGTAAAAACTTGGTTAACTTCTAAGATCTAAACTAGGCTCTTTAGTTCTTTTTTTTTTTTTTTATAAAAAAGACCAAAGGGGATAAAGTTTAGTTTAAGGGACACCATAGTAAAATTTTATAAAAATATATCATTTTTTTATTATAATCAAAAAATTAGATATTTTTATAAATTTTACTATGATGTCCCTTAAGCTAAACTTTATTCAACTAATTAAATGGTGATTTGGATTTACGTTTTTTATTTATATATTTTTCTTCTAAATATTAGGATTAATGGAACTTGGAATTGCCTGTATTGTACTCTTTGGTGGTGCACAGATACTTTTTGAAATTAGAGAGGAAGAAAAAAGAAGAGGCATTAATTCTGAAATTAGATACTAATTATTTTTAAAGTACTATTGTTGGTTTGTTTAATACTTTTTTTACTTATATGTATGAACAATTGTTAATGTAATAATTCTCTTTGATTTAAATGAACAATTTTAAGTGCAATAATTTGTTTTATTTATATAAACAATCCATTTTTAGTGTATTCTTGATAAAGCTTCAGGTTTGTTTTTTTTTGTTTTGTTATAGGCCTATTTCAAGCTCTAAATAATTTGTATTTATTGAATTTTGTAAATTTAGATAATAAAATTTAGACAATAAAATTTAATATTAACTATAGACAAATAATTTAGTGAATTTAATACTGATAATTCAAGAGTTTTGATTAGATTAATTACATTGTTGGTTCAATTATAATTGTTATTTTGTCTGATTTTAAAAGTTGTATAAATATTAAAATGGTAATGTATATTCAGTTCAGCACTACATATCAAAATTTTGAGGTGCAATGATTTGGAACTGGTTTAATCTAGAGATTGGCTTTTAAAAAGTGTATAAGTAATATTGGCAAATAAATTTCAATATTTCTATCAATATTTTAAAAAAGTAACGATATTGATAAACATTTACAATTAATGATACATTTTCTCATAATTGCAGTTATTTGTTCGTTAGTTTCAAGTTTTCCTACAGTTCGTATTGTACCAAAACCAATTCTTCGTAATAAGACACTTCATCCTTACCAACATTATAGCTTTCACAATCTTTTTCGCATGTGAAAATCATTACTGTACCCCATTCCATTCCAACATCAAATTGTGCAATTCCACATTTAGTATTTTCTATCCCATTCTTCTTTTCAGAGTTATTAGCCGCATATTCACCAGTCGGAAGTATACATAACATATTTGGCATTAATTGGAATTCAAAAACTCTTTTAGATCCACACTTTGGACATTTCGGTAATCTCTGTGTACTTGTTTTAAGCCCTTTAACCGATCCATACGGTGGTGATAATAATAATGAAGCTGCTGGATCACTTTGATTATATAAGAGTGGCTGTCCATCAAATTCGTACCTTAAGAATAATTATATTAGTGAGCATAATAATGTTTTCAAGCATTTTATGTAATAAGGTTTATTAACATTAATATCATATACCTAATGCATTGATCGGGCCATTCAGATACACGCTCTGAAAATTTTCTAAAAGCTTTGTCAACACCCCTTGGTAAACAAGATTTTTCGTATTTTTCATCCATCCATTCAAACGAGTCGTCATCATTGTTATTTAGTGAACCATTCAAATAACACTCGTATTTCTTTAGATTAGGATCGGGTTTTTCTTCCAAGATTTCTTCAGTAATGTATAGGTGTTGGGCAGGAAAGTATGGAATTTTTTCTGGCCATGGCACTTTTTTAATAGTTACCCGAATGAAATCAACGGAAAATTCTCGTGTAACAAGGAGATTCGTTTTCCAAGAGAAATAAACAAAAAACTTACATTTTGAATGAGTTTCTGATACATCGCCTATAATAAGTTTCGTGGCAACATCATCGCAAAGCTTGGAATCAACATCATCTATAATTGTTGATCTGGCAACAACTTGACTCCACGTTGGAGTATTTGATGAGTAATTCACATTGAGGTCATATGTAACTTGTGTGTTTGGCAACACGAAAGTAGGTGCCTTTAATCAAGATGTTTTTTTAACATAAAATGTTAAACAGAGTCACCTTTTACGAAGCATTACAATATCATCTGAGACACGAGTAAAACGCCTATAATATTTACACTCAACTTATCAGTACCGTTATCATTATCTTTATCATTATCGAAATCATTATCATTATCATTATCATTATCATTATCGTTATCATTATCAAACAGCATTTCACCCAATCCATTCGCTGCAGAAGATATGTTTTGTGTTGAGAAGAGCGTGTCTCCCAACTAAAACGATTTTATGATCCTTAGTATATACCTATGAACATGATAATATTCTTAAGAAAAAAGGTATCATACATTAAATATCGTAGCAGGGTTTTGCAATTCAAATTTTATTTGATCTTTATGACAATGATTTTTATTTTTCTTTTGACTTTTCACAAAACTTTCATCCAGTCTATGTGCCCGAATTGCCTTGAAA